TCCTCAATTGGAAACCTTTGTTCTTTCTTACATTCATAATAGTTGGTGCATTGTTTGGAGATGCAGCTCTGTGGATGCTAGCCAGACCTGCTGTTTTGATCATTTTTGATCCACACTGAAATATGTCAGGTTTTAATTATACAGAGCAGTAACAAATCCTAAATAAGCATATTTCACGGCAGTCAGTTTGTCCTGAAACAGCATGTATACACATGTGTTACTAATGACGTTAATAAAGTTTCTTGCCTGTTTAGGTGAACCGAATTTGTTTACATATTGTATTTCAAAATGGCTTCTGTGAAATCAGTCTATTGCCTTGAAATCTGGTGCAGTCATTCGTACCTTCCCTCTGAACAACTCAGATGAATCTCTAACTTCTTGTCATGCAATCAACAGTCATGTTTCTTTTTCCAGCACTTTTTCACTCAATACCTGCAAAACTAGTTTAGGTATTGTGCTAACAAGTGGATGTTAGCATGTCAAATCTACCTAATCTCACTTGACCCCATGTTAGCATGCTGATGTTAGTAAGTCTTTTATACAGTTACTGGTCTTGGCTTGGAAAACAATTCTTATTTGGCTTGAAACTGACTCTGAAATACTTCACTTTTTACACTTTTTACGCTCAGTTTGGGCATCGTCTGGCAACCACCGGTCGCTACAGAAAAATGTTGCGAGTGGTTGCTGGAGAAATCGATTGCTAAATCCCCAGTGCACAGGGTTGACTCCCTAGTAACTACGGTTGCTAGGGAAAAATGTATATTCCCGCACCAGTTGGCAAGTTGCTGGGGGATAGTTGTTTGGTGTCGTTTATTAGTGGTTAGAAAAATACTTGCTAACTACTGACAGACAAGTCAGGGTACAAACTATAGGCGACTGAACTGTGGGCAATCTGCTAGCAACCAGGCCAATCACACAGAGGTTTTGAGTGGAGCACCGTCTACCTCTTTTGACCAATAGACCTGTGTGACTGAAGCCTAATGTAATTACATTAGATTACAACATTAAAAGTATTTTTCCTGCAGTAGTGCATTAGTCTTTAACAAGGCCAAGTATTGTTCTGTCCAAATGTGGTGTATCTAACTACAAGTCCAATGCCAGCTTGGCTGCACTTCCAGATGAGTTTCATCTGTTCTTTGCTCTGTTTGACTGCAATCCCATCACCTGGTAAACTTTTCCACTAGGTTTTAAAGGGGCTTTCATCTGTACTCAGAAGGGTTCCACCAGGGTGGCTGTGCGACTATAAAATTGAGCTCTGTGGGTGTAGATGTGCATCTTACAATGCCCTTCTTTTTTAGTCTGACTCATCTCTTCTTTGAACAAAACTTCGAGGAGCTTCAGATGAAAGTGTACTCAGGCTATACATCATCCAGAGTAATAATGCATGAAGGCCATAAAAAAAACAGGTAGACATAGAGATGCAAAGTAAACCAACAGATGATAAAGGTTTTGATTAATGAAAAGCATTCTTTGGAAGATGTGAGAGCAGAAGATAAGCTCGAACAAATGATGGGAAAGTAGAGAAGAGGCTGTTTAGAAAGATGGAGGGATGATATGAGTAGAATTAGGGAGTGATAGGAAACAGGAAGAGAGGTAAAAGGAGTGATAACACAAATGGGGGCATCTACATTGTGATTTAAAGGCAGGAAGAGCTCAAAGAAGCAGTAAATAAAATGCAATAACAAAGAAGTGATATATTAAAGGGAAGAGGGAGTGAGCAATTGGTACGCTGGAGGCAGCAGACTACCCATGCTCTTCTGTTCCCTATCTTTGAGGGGCCTGTGTGGGTGTTTGTGTGTCTATCGGTACCATGCAAGTTTGAGTCAATGTTCCTTGCTCCCTGCAGTTTAACAATTTGGTATGTGTGGGTGCATGAATGTGGCTATACATGCCTTTATTTCTCTTTGCGTGCTCCCAAATCTGCCACTGTGTGTGGCAGCTGCAAGTGTGTGTAGCTGTGTCGAGATGAGATTAGCCTTCCTGCAGGGCCGTAGTTCCACGGAGGCCACCTGAAGCAGCAGGAACGGCAGGAATGTGGGAACATTGATACGCTTCGTCGTCTCCAGCACCACAACAACATATCTGCCTCTGCATGGGAGAGGAGAAGAATAAAAGTAGAGACATACGGGGCACTCATTGAGCACTCCTTGGGTCGAACCTGTTTTTTAGAGTTTCGGGAACTTTTAAGCTATTTGCCACAAAAGTAGGAAGCAAAAAGAAAGGAGCCCTAGGAGTCATGTATTTATAGATTATCACAGCGTGTTGCACGGAAAACAAAGGGCTCCATTCTCCTCCATTTTGATGGGATGATAAAACATTCCCTGCTCTTATCTGAGACAAAAGTGCAGAACAGAAAACCTTTGATTTATTCTGATTTAAATAAACTGTGAAAGCCAAGGTCTAGTGTGAGCTGCAAGTGTAGGCAACTGAATAACACAGCGATGAACAATAGTGGAAATATGGGAGGCAAAAAAGTCAAACTGTGCACAACTTTCAGGAACATTAATTAATGTTTTTTTTTTAATGTTTTATCACAATTTGTCAGTATTGAACCACTGGTGCTTCATACGAGACACAATGTTTCCATTGTCAGTCTATATATGTTCACAGTTGTGGGCCTTTTATTACCAGTCTGTTTTATTTGATTGTGAGTTCATGTCACATCAGTTTGTTCCTATTTTACTCCCCCATGAATCAGAGTTGTGAGCGTTGTGGTAAAGTGCTTCACAACTCAAGATGTATTGACCCATTTGCTTTTTATGCTATACATTCAGCACCTTTACTGTCACACACAAAGTGATGATACGGCAGTTTTTTACGGTTCAGCATATTTCCAAAGAAAACTTCCATACTCAGGCTGGAGGAGCTGGGAATCTGCCAGCCTTATGTACCCGGTCTGGCCTTAAACTCTTATTGCCGTTAGTTCTCTGCGTTGTGTTGTGTGAATGACCAGAGGAGTCAGCTCTCACTTTGCCAGCTGGGTGGATTTATTCTCCCAGAACTGTTTAAAATAAAAACAAAACAGTACAGCAACTTCACTTTACTGGACTTCTGCATGAACACCTCTCCTCAGCGGGGCCTCTAGGCGACTGAGGTACAACATCACAACAAATCCAATTACCAAATAATACTGCTAAAATGTATTTATATTCATATATAACAAACAAAAATGCACTGCATCGTGAACATATAGTGACAATTACCTCATCAACAAAATTATACTTTAGGGAGACTTCATTTACCAGTGGCAATTTTACATATTTACAGTAAGTTGA